GGCCTCCCCGCCCCTCCACAACAGTCTCGCCCCCCCCCCCCCCCCCCCCCCCCCCCCCCCCCCCCCCCACCCCCCCCCCCCCATTTTATTTTAGTGCGGGATTACAGGCTTGAGCCCACCGCGCCCCGGCCCCGTCTTTTCATTTTCTTAAGTGACTTTTGCAGAGCAGAAGTTTTTGATTTTTTTTTTTTTTTTTTTTGAGACGGAGTCTCGCTCTGTCGCCCAGGCTGGAGTGCAGTGGTGTGATCTCCGCTCACTGCAAGCTCCGCCTCCCGGGTTCACGCCATTCTCCTGCCTCAGCCTCCTGAGTTACTGGGACTACAGGCGCCACCACCTCGCCCAGCTAATTTATTGTATTTTTAGTAGAGACGGAGTTTCACTGTGTTCGCCAGGATGGTCTCAATCTCCTGACCTCATGATCCGCCCGCCTCGGCCTCCCAAAGTGCTGGGATTACAGGCGTGAGCCACTGCACCTGGCAGAAGTTTTTAATTTTAATGAACCCCAGTTTATCAGTACCTTCTTTCATGGATTATGTCTTTGGTTTCTGTTTCTGGAAGGTAATTGCCAAGCTCAAGATCATCTCCTGTGTTACCATCTGGGAGTTTTATAGTTTTGTACTTCACATTTAGGTCTGAGACTTATTTTGAGTTAATTTGTGAAGGGGATAAGGTCTGTGTCTAGATTCCTTTTTTTTTTTTTTTTTTCTTTTTTTTTGGCATGTGAATATCCAATTGTCCCAGCATCTTTTGTTGAAATACTATCTTTTCTTCATTGTATTGTCCTTGCTCCTTTGTCAAAGATTCGTTGACTTTATTTAGGTAGCTTGTTTCTAGGCCCTCTATTCTGTTCCATTGATGTATTTGTGTATTCTTTCGCCAGTGCCACACTGTCTTGGTTATTGTAGCTTCATAGTAATATTGAAGTAGGGTAGTGTCAGTCCTCCGACTTTGTTCTTCTTCAATACTGTGTTGTCCATTCTGGGTCTGTGGCCTCTTCATATAAACTTTAGAATCAGTTGATGTCTTCAAAACAGCTCACTGGGCTTCTTGTCTCTTTTATGTGCTCACCTGCTACGGTCAGGCCCAGTCAGGATAATCTCCCTTTTGACTAACTCAGAGTCAACTCACTAGAGACCTTAAGTGCATCTGCACAATCCCCTAGCCATATAACATGACATGACAATGTCTTGCCCACCCTTACGGGAATGCAAACCCAGGAGAAGGGGTCTTGGGGGCCATCTTATAATTCTGCTTGCCACAGAAATAACATTGAGTACCTGCTGAAGTGCCACACACCAGTGGAGTAATTCCCACCTTTGAGTTAAATGGTGTTATCCAAGTTTTACTTGTAGGGAAACGAAATGTCAGGCAAATGAAGCAATTCACGTAACTAGTAAATAGCATGGTCAGGATTCTAACGCAGATTTGCTGGTCTTCAAAGCCATTTTTGCCACACTATCTCTAACAAATCCTGTCACATCTTCCTCCTTCCCAGTTTATTTGCTTTACTCCCAACCCACTGTCTTGATTGTGGGTCATCATCATTCATCCCTTCCCCGCACTCCTGCAGCAGCCTCCTGATTGGTCTTCCTGCCTTTGCTCTTGTTCTTCTCCAGTTTGTTCTCCATAGTCCTTAAGTGTAACCCTGACTATATAACTTCCTGCTTAAAATACTTGTATGGCTTCTTCCAGACAGAATCCATACATTTTAATATGGGTTACATGGCCTCAGTTTATGGACTCTGCCTGCTTCTCTAACATCATCTCTTACCTCTCTCTTCTTTGATAAATGTGCCCCCATGTTGTTTCCTCTGCCTAGAACACTCTTAACCACCCTTCATCTGCCTACTTCTACCCATCTCTCTGGTTTAGATTAAATGTCACTTCCTCCAGAAGGCTTTCTTTGACTCCCTAACTTGGGAACGCACTCCTACTACATGTTCCCATAGCACCAAATGCTTTCCCTATAATAGCACTGTGTTTTATTACAATGACATATTTAACTGCCTCATTTGTTAGATTCTACATCTGATCCTTATCTGTATTCCCAGTGTCTGGCACATACGGATACTCAGTAAATATTATTAATACATGAATAGTAGAATACTTTAATGGGTTACTTTTTTTTCTGCTTCCTTTGAAATCTTAGTCTCTGCTTTTCCTTAATTGCCATTGAAATACTTTTAATATCACTTATTAGAAAAGCTGTCCACTTCCCATGTGTTTTATTCAGGATCAAATAATTAGTATATGGGGAAGCTGAGACAAGATTGTGGGTCTTTAAACTGTAAATTTCATGTGCTTTCCACTATTTTATGCAGCTTAACTTCCTTATAATTAGATCTAGTCTTCAAAAGCTTATCCTCCTAACTACTTGCTATACCACCACCCAGCACAGGTACTCAATAAACGCTAATCTGTTTTCTACATAATTGAATAAAATCCTGTGTAAGAGTTATGAAGGAAACCTTTTTCTTCAATATGTGAATTTGAATCTATAGTATAGTAGCCAAGAATTGTGATTAGTGTGACAGCTATGGATAGCCTTATAGAATAGGAACATTAACCTTTTACAGTATTATATTGTGTTTGAGAAAACGTTGTTAAATGCCTTCCTTGTAAGTTTTATAATATGGCCAAACAAGCTATGAAATCTCTCAAGCATATATATTTTCTAATGTTCTCAGTATTTAGAAGTGAGATTGATTGTACAGTTGGGAAAGATTTGGCAGCGTATAGACTTCCACAAATTATTCTTTCATCATGTATTCTAGTAAATTTCAGGCATATAGATAAGCCATGATTAAAAGATTAGTATGAAATTTAACAAACATACCACAAATTTTATCTCAAATAAGTGCAATCTCATTCAAAGCAGTTACCTTGGAAAGTGTTCTAGGAATATTTCCATTCATCAAATGATTTCAGAATAGCTTTTGGAATTAAAGTCAGAGTCATCACATGAGCTTTTTACTGCCATCAGCCTCAGTCAGTCTTTGTCCTTTGAGGGTCGTTATTTTGTGGGAACAACATGAAGAACTAGGGCAGCTAGGCAGAGTGCACGATCGAGCTTTGTTTAAAGCAAGATACAACTCTGAAGTTATGAGACAGGACTGTGTGACTGGTTTAGTTTTCGTCCCAAAATCTCACTCTTAAGGCAAACAAAAGCTCCCAAGGGCGTTGAAAGCACCAAACACTCATGTCTTTTTTTTTTTTTTTTTTTTTTTTCCAGGCAGAGTCTCACTCTGTCGCCCAGGCTGGCGTGCAGTGGCGCAATCTTGGCTCACTGCAAGCTCTACCTGCTGGGTTCACACCATTCTCCTGCCTCAGCCTCCCGAGTAGCTGGGACTACAGGCGCCTACCACCACGCTGGCCAATTTTTTGTATTTTTAGTAGAGACGAGGTTTCACCATGTTAGCCAGGATGCTCTTGATCTCCTGACCTCGTGATCCACCCGCCTCGGCCTCCCAGAATGTTGGGATTACAGGCATGAACCACTGCGCCTGGCCACATTCATGTCATTTTAATAACTGTAGGGCCAGAAAGGACTAGGAATAGATGAAAGACTGAGAATCACATTTTGATGCTTCCAGATAAGTTTTTGCAGAAAGCCATACTGAAAATATGTTTGTTAGATTAAAATTATTAAGTGATAACCCTTTCTTTACGTTAAATAGCTAACTTTTTCTGTAAGGGAGCAACATATATTCTTTCTTGGGCCCATAACCCTGAAAGTCAGGGCTACCTGGGTTGTGGTTATAACTGCCAGGGTCTAGTGTTACTACTAGCTTAGTGATGGTACCCTCAGCAACTTACAATTTCTCTGACTTTATTTTTTCCCATCCTCACAATGAGAAATTTGGATAGATGAATCTAATTGCATGTCTCTTTCTTGATAGAAAAAACTTAACTTTTTCCCCTTAGACCATGTATAATTGTAAAATGGAATGCATAAAAATATAATCATCTGTTTTATATGTCTCTTATTGAACTGACTTTAAAAATAATTTGATTTTGTTTCTCAAAAATCATATATTCCTTTTGGCATTGGGTCAGAATATAGTGAAGAACAAACATGCCTCAGGTAGTACAGAGCAGTTTGTTGAAGTGAAGACATTTCATCTGACAGTGACTACCAAAGAATTGTCTTCAGTTATTTATTCGCTTCTTACCTTGAACCCAAAGAATGTGAATAGTCCAATAATGAGAAGCTACAAATGACAATAAAAGCAGGATGATGGAAATTACAAGATTAGAAATCAAAACCAGAGAAGCAAAAAGAACATAGATTTGGCTCTTGCATTTCTGGCTCCAGAGTTTAAAAGGAAATTATATGGTTCAGATTTTCAAAGGTGAGAAAAATAGATACCCCAGGAGTGATAAAGATTTTCTTAACACTGAATTCTGAAAGAAATATGTAACATGGGATTGTATATAGGGAGAAGGAAGGTCTTTACAAATAATTTAACATGTGGTTTTTACCTACTAAAATTAAAACTGATGTTCATCTCTGAGTGGTAAGTAACATGGATTAAAAATGTATTTTCCTGGCCAGGCACGGTGGCTCACGCCTATAATCCCAGCTCTTTGGGAGGCCGAGGTGGGCGCATCACCTGAGGTCAGGAGTTCGAGAACAGCCTGGCCAACATGGTGAAACCCCATCTCTAGTAAAAATACAAAAATTAGCCGGGCATGGTGGTGGGCACCTGTAATCTCAGCTACTTGGAAGGCTGAGGCAGAAGAATCGCTTGAACCCAGGAGGGGAGGTTACAGTGAACCAAGATTGCGCCACTGCACTCCAGCCTGGGCGACAGAGCAAGACTCCATCTCAAAAAAAAAAAAAAATTATTATTCTGTTTAGGAAAGCTGGTTAGTAGTTTGGAACTCTTCCCTTGATGAAAAAGTTTAGGTATCCTTCTATTTTATTACTGTGGTTTCAGGGTTACTAAACTTGGGTTCTAATCAAGTCTTACCCTGTTGTATCTTCTATGTGGCACTAGCCAAAAAAGAAGAACATGTCGGCCTACCAGGTGTTCTGTAAAGAGTATCGCGTGACCATTGTGGCTGACCATCCAGGTATAGGTAAGAACTTTGCTGATCTGTAGCGCTTTTGCTTTCCATTTATATCTTGAAGCAGTGCAGTTAATTTCTTCTTCCTGTAGCATTAGAGCATAGATAATCTTGTTTCTTTCCTCAGCTCTGCAAATCACTTTAGATTTTGCCTTAGTTTACCTCATCTGTAAAAGAGATGAACTTTCTATACATATCTCTTAAACTGATAAGGTGGGAAACTACGTAAAAATAAATGTTATAAAGCACATACATAAATGCACAAAAATAGGCCGGGCGCGGTGGCTCAAGCCTGTAATCCCAGCACTTTGGGAGGCCGAGACGGGTGGATCACTAGGTCAGGAGATCGAGACCATCCTGGCTAACACGGTGAAACCCCGTCTCTACTAAAAAATACAAAAAACTAGCCGGGCGAGGTGGCGGGCGCCTGTAGTCCCAGCTACTCAGGAGGCTGAGACAGGAGAATGGCCCGAACCCGGGAGGCGGAGCTTGCAGTGAGCTGAGATCCGGCCACTACACTCCAGCCTGGGCGACAGAGCGAGACTCCGTCTCAAAAAAAAAAAAATGCACAAAAATATACAATTGTTTATTTCCAAGATTCTACAATTGGCCTTTTCCTTAAACTGCCCTTGAATATAAAGTTATAATGAGATGTCTTGTATTATATTGTTGTAAAGATGCTCTTCAAGTTACGATAGTGTTACATCCCGATAAACCCATTGAAAGTTGAAAATACTGTAAGTCAAAAATGCATTTAATACACCTAGCCTACAGAACACATTTAAGGTGGGCCTTAAATGTGCTCAGGACACTTAACATTTGCCTACACTTGAGCAAGGTCATTTAACACAAAGCCTGTTTTATAATAAAGTGTTGAATATCTTGTGTAATGTATTGAATACTGTACTGAAAGTGAAAAACAGAATGGTTGTATGGGTACTAGAAGTACAGTTTTTACTGAGTACATATTGAAAAATCAAAAGTCAAACCATCATAAGTCAGGGACTGTCTGTATTTGTCTCTGTATTAGAAGTTAATGAGGTGAGACACATGTCACTTAACCGCTACAGATTTCCTTTGCCTAATGTGTAAAATCGCTGCCCTACCAACTCCAAAAGGCCGCAGTGAGGCACACATGAATATGCTTTATAAAGCATAAAACTGTTATACAGTGGAAGGGTAAGATTACACATCTAGAGGATTGCTTCTGAGCTGCTCTAGGGAAATCCTTCTTTGGTTCTAATTGTTCAGAAATTTGGTAAAAGCCTAACACCTTTTTTCAAATTCTACACATATTTTTTAACCTAAGTTGATAGGCCTTGTATTGTGGGATCAAATTAAAGACACCAGAGGGAGGATGCAGTGGCTCATGCCTATAATCTCAGCACTTCGGGAGGCTGAAGTAGGAGAATTGCTGGAGCCCAGGAGTTTGAGACCAACTTGGGCAACATAATGAGACCTCATCTCTACAAATAATAATTTAAAAAAATAGCCAGTCACAGTGACTCATGCCTGTAATCCCAACACTTTGGGAGGCCGAGGTGGGTGGATTACACGAGGTCAGGAGTTCAAGACCAGCCTGGCCAACATGGTGAAACCCTGTCTCTACTAAAAATACAAAAATTAGCCTAGCATTTTGGTGCACACCTGTAATCCCAGCTACTCCGGAGGCTGAGGCAGGAGAATCACTTGAACCCAGGAGGCAGAAGTTGCAGTGAGTCAAGATCACTCCATTTCACTCCAGCCTGGGCGACACAGCGAGACTCCATCTCAAAAAAAAAAAAAAAAAAAAAAAAATTTTTTTTTTAAATTAGCTAGGTGTGGTAGGTAGCCCGTGCCTGTAGTCCCAGCTATGTGGGGGGGTAGAGGTGAGAGGGTGGTTTGAGCCCAGGTGGTTGAGGCTGCTGTGAGCTATTATCACACCACTGCCCTCCAACCTGAGCAACAGAGCCAGACTCAGTCTCAAAAAAAGACACTAGAAAGATGCTTAAGGAATAAATCCCTAGGGAATAGATGGGTTAGGAGTTGAGACTGTCTTGTGACCATCAAAACATCCCCTTCCCTATAGAAAAAAATCAAAGAAAAGCCATGGGATTGGGGTTGGTTTTCTCAAAGAATCTTGCAGTATTTAAATCTGACCTTCAAAACCCTTTTCACAGTTTTCGCTCTCACCAATCTTCTGTTTTGTTAATGGCTAACCCTTTACTGTATTGAGTGTTTTACTCTTTTATGCCAGATTTTGGGGAACTTAGTAAAAAACTGGCTGAAGTGTGGAAGCAATTGCCAGAAAAAGACAAACTGGTAAGTACACTTTCTTACAAATGTATTTTTCAGTGCTTCTTGCCTTCCAAAATACCTAATTCTTCCATAGACCAGCCAGCCAGACAGCACTGAAAATAGTGAAGAAAATTACAAATCAATAGAAAATGGTTTAGCAGAGGACATAACACTGTTAGTGCCAGTTCACTGTACGTGAGGATTTAGCTATAGCAAGGCTGTCTTTTCTAACCTGGTCTAGTTTTTTCCAACAGTGTTACATTTGAGCCAAAAGATGTTCTAAGTTGAGGCATAACTAAAGTGTTAAATTATAAAATCAGAGCCCTTTACTGAAAACACCTAGTAATCAGTCATGGTCTGAGAACTGAGGAAAGTTATCCACTTAGCAGTCACTGCAGACAATAAAAACATGAGAATGTGCTTACTAGGTAACCAGGTTCAAGGTCATTATCCTCATCAACCATTACCAAATAATGTACCCTACTGTCAAGAAGCTAGTAAGACACTGATAAACAGTCATATCTGGACTGGGCATGGTGGCTCACGCCTGTAATTCCAGCACTTTGGGAGCCTGAGGCAGGTGGATCACCTGAGGTCAGGAGTTCGAGACTAGCCTGGCCAACATGGCGAAACCCCGTTTCTACTAAAAATACAAAAAATTAGCCAGGCTTGGTGGTGCATGCCTGTAATTCCAGCTACTTGCGAGGCTGAGGCAGGAGAATCGCTTGAACCCCGGAGGCAGAGGTTGCAGTGAGCCAAGATCTCGCCATTGTACTCCAGCTTGGGCAACAAGAGCAAAACTCCATCTCAAAAAAAAACAAAAATCAGTCATATCTGAATCATTGAGACTTATGATATGAAGGTCATATAGGAGCAATATGTCATCTAGATGAACAACTATTTTTCACCCAGATAGATTATCCTTAGTTTTTGTTTTCCATGTTATTGTTATCCTGCTGTTGTGTTGGTATTGCCAACCAGCAGATTAGAAGAACCACAGAGACATTATATTGAACCAGATGTTTAATCTGTGATTTTACATTTCAACTTACAGTGATCTAAAAATCAGTGCCAAGATTTGACCATTAGCATTGAGGAATGTTTATAGTCCTCTACTAAGATGTTAATGTAGGCCGGGCGCGGTGGCTTAAGCCTGTAATCCCAGCACTTTGGGAGGCCGAGACGGGTGGATCACAAGGTCAGGAGATTGAGACCATCCTGGCTAACCCAGTGAAACCCCGTCTCTACTAAAAAATACAAAAACAAAAACTAGCCGGGCGAGGTGGCGGGCGCCTGTAGTCCCAGCTACTCGGGAGGCTGAGGCAGGAGAATGGCGTAAACCCGGGAGGCGGAGCTTGCAGTGAGCTGAGATCCAGCCACTGCACTCCAGCCTGGGCAACAGAGCGAGACTCCGTCTCAAAAAAAAAAAAAAAAGATATTAATGTAGTCAGCTGTCTGAGGTCAGTTCAGTGACCCCCAGCTTAAAAGTTAGCATTAACCCTCTGTCTGCCTGCCTCCTACTATTGCCTTTCTTTTCTCCGTTTTGTTCTTTCATAACTGCTTTTCCTTTTACTTTTTTGTCCTTTTAAATTTATTTTAATTTAATATTCACTGATGTGATTGCAGATTTGGAAGCAAAAAGCTCAGTATCTGCAGCACAAACAGAACAAAGCAGAAGCCACAACTGTGAAAAGGAAAGCATCCAGCTCAGAAGGTTCCATGAAAGTCAAAGGTATTGACCACATCCCCATCCTGCTTTTCTCTAAAGCATGTGAATTTTGCTTCCTTGCTAAGAAACTGGGAAAAAAGCTTGCAATATTAGAAGTGGACCTTGATTCCCAGGTATTATTACTGAATGTTACAGGCTACCAAAAAGAGATGTTCAAATTTTGAAAATGTAAATCAGAAGTCAGCAAACTTTTGCTTTAAAGGTCCAGAGAGTAGACCAGGCGCAGTGGCTCATGCCTGTAATCCCAGCACTTTGGGAGGCCAAGGTGGGTGGATCACCTGAGGTTGGGAGTTCGAGACCAGCCTAACCAACATGGAAAAGCCCTGTCTCTACTGAAAATACAAAATTAGCCAGGTATGGTGGCGCATACCTGTAATCCCAGCTACCAGGGAGGCCAAAGCAGGGGAATTGCTTGAACCCGGGAGGTGGAGGTTGTGGTGAGCTGAGATCGTGCCATTGCACTCCAGCCTGGGCAACAAGAGCAAAACTTCATCTCAAAAAAAAATAGGTCCAGAGAGTAAATATTATAGGCCTTGTGTGCTGTATGCATTCTCACATTCTCTGTCACATATTCTTTGTTTTTCTATAACCCTTTAAGAATGTAAAACTATTCTTAGCTCACAGGCCGTAAAAAAAAAAAGGAGACCAAGGACTGAATTTAGCCCACAGGCCGCAATTTTGCTAATGCCTGGTATAGTTCATAAAAAGGGAAAATCAGGAAGAACAATTTTGTGTTGTTCAAGGCTGTAGGCAAGTTTTACCTGTCTGCCTCATTGCTCTGTTCTCAGCCTCTTCTGTAGGAGTACTGTCACCCCAGAAGAAATCCCCACCCACCACCATGCTCTTACCAGCCTCACCAGCCAAAGCCCCTGAGACAGAGCCCATTGATGTTGCTGCTCATCTTCAGCTGTTGGGAGAGTCCCTAAGCCTCATTGGACACCGTCTGCAGGAAACTGAGGTGAATACAACTATCAGCAGTGTGACTACAGTTTCCCATATAATTTGGATTCATTCACTCATTTTACATACATGTATTGAGCATCTACTTTATGCTAAATTATGCCAGATACTCAGGATGCAGTGATATAGAAGATATAATGATAACAGAAATATCTATAGAGATATTCAATCTACCTATTAGCTCTCAAAGTTTCACTAATGATATCCTATTGAAACAATGGCACAAAAAGAAATTGGAATACCCTGTAACTTATTTTTATTTTTTTAAAATGCAGTGGAGACTGGGCGCAGTGGCTCACGCCTGTAATCCTAATTTGGGAGGCCTAGCTGGGAGAATCGCTTAAGGCCAGGAGTTCGAGACCAGCCTGGCAAGCATAGTGAGACTCCATCTCAAAAAATACATATATTCAAAAAATTTAAAAGAAATAAAAATGGGGCCAGGCGTGGTGGCTCATGCCTGTAATCCCAGCACCTTGGGAGGCCGAGGCTGGCGGATCACAAGGTCAGGAGTTCGAGACCAGCTTGGCCAATATGGTGAAACCCTGTCTCTACTAAAAGTACAAAAATTAGCCAGGCATGGTGGTGTGCACCTGTGGTCCCAGCTACTCGGGAGGCTGAGGCAGGAGAATCGCTTGAACCTGGGAGGCGGAGGTTGCAGTGAGTCGAGATCGCACTGTTGTATTCCAGCCTGGGCGACAGAGTGAGACTCCATCACAAAAAAAAAAAAAAAAAAAAGAAGAAATGCAGTGGCGGCTGGGCACAGTGGCCCATGTATGTAATCCTAGCAATTTGGGAGACTGAGGCAGGAGGATTGCTTGAGGCCAGGAGTTGGAGAGCAGCCTGGGCAACATAACGAGACCCCATTTCTACAAAAAATTTAAAAATTAGCCAGGTATAATGGTGCACACCTGTAGACCCAGCTACTCGGAAGGCTAAGGCAGATGGATTGCTTCAGCCCAGGAGCTCAAAGGCTGTAAGCTATTATTGCTGCACTGCATTCCAGCTTGAGTGACAGAGCAAGACCCTATCTCTTTTAAAAAAACAAAAACAAAAAGGCAAGAAAAACGATGAGTACAAATTCCATAGCAGTTTTGATTACTTCTATCTACTTCTAAGAGACTTTGCATTTTTCTGTGCATTTCCAGCAAAGTCTTGAATAGATTCAATTGTATAGGAGATTAAGAGTTCTTCTATTTTGAAAATAGGTAGCAAATGGAGAAGTTAAGTACCCAGCTCTCCAGTACTCTGCACTTAAATTATACAGTGCTATGTGCCCTAGGGAGATTTTTGTCCTTTTAAGCTTCGATTTCAAAATCACTTAACCTGCACAGCTGTCGTGTTTTGCTTCTATCACCATATTCAATTTCTAACTATACTGTCCCCTTAGCTAACTCAGTAGTACAGTAGTTCTGCTTTCTACCAAGTTATAGTAAGACATTTCAGCAAAGAAGCCAGTCTAAGCTACTAAAGCCATTTTTAAGCTAAGAAATTAGTGTAGGAATGTAAAACTAATCACTTGCTTCAGTGTGGAAATTGAATTATTCAACAAATAAAATGCCAAAGGCCACAAGAGCTGAAGCTGTATCTAAATTCTTTGGCTAGTTTCTAAAAAACTTAGCAGGAGTCAAAAGAACTTCAGCACTTTCACATAGTCTCGATATCTGAATGGATATAGGTATTTCCAGAAGAAATATTCTGTGACCTTACTTATTTTTCATATTTAATCATTCTTAATTTCATAAGAAGTAAAAACGGTTTATTTTAAGCATATTCTGAATTTTCCCAGATATTTCTATTCAGTTTAGTAAGCACAAAGTTCACCCCTTTAAAGTGCAGAATTTAGTGATTTTTAGTATATTCACAGAATTGTGAATCACTACTATTTCATTCCAAAACATATTACTACCCCTAAAAGAAACCCTGTACCCATTAGCAATTTTTCCCCATTCTCCCTCTAATCCACTTTTGGCCTGAATTTAATCATTTGCAGAGATCCCCGTAATTTTACAATTTCCACATACCACTTACACTATTATTTACTTTACAGTTTTATTTAAATAAACTTGTCTGTGCTTTTATATGACATTCATGACATCTCAAGGGTTATATTCTATTTTTTTAAGGTACATCATAATGGACATATAATTATCAGAATAATATGTTCAACAGTAAATTAATGTTCATCATTTTAGCAGTAAAACTAGAACATACAATGCATAAGTTAGATAATTAAGGCTAGAGGCTGAGCACTCTGGCTCATGCCTGTAATCCCAGCACTTTAGGAGCCAGAATGAGAGGATCACTTGAGGCCAACAGTTTTGAGACCCGCCTGGCCAACATGGCAGAACCCTGACTCTACTAAAAATACAAAAATTCGCCAGTCGTGATGGTGCACACCTGTAATCCTAGCTACTTGTGAGGCTGAGGCAGGAGAATTGCTTCAACCGGGAGGTGGAGGTTGCAGTGAGCCGAGATCACACCACTGCACTCCATCCACCGTCCAGCCTGGGCAACAGAGTGAGACCCTGTCTCAAAAAAAATAAAAATTAAAAAATACATATATATATATATATATATATATATATATATATATATATATATATATCTTAAGAAAGTTAAGGCTAGAACCCAAATTGCAGAGGGACTTCATAGACATTCTGAAGTGTGTGTACTTTACTGTTGGGGAACTACAGGGGTTTTTAGAGTGGAAAGGGATGAGATCAGAGCTCTCATTTACTTTTCTCTGAGAATATCTTTTATTTTAGATTGGAAGTGAAAAGAGACCAGAATTGGGGAGAAGTTATAACAACAATCCAAGTCTAGATGTGACAAAGATAAATTAGCTATAAATAACTATAGGGCAAAGGTAATGAAATAATATTGCTAATTACTTACATTTTTGGGGTTTTAGATACTATCTTCCCTATATATTAACATTTTATTGAATGCTTACCCAACTTTGGTTCAGAGTGCTTAATATGAATTACATCATTTAATTCACACTGCAGCTTTGTAAGACAGAATTTTTGTTCCCCCTATTTTACAGAAGAATAAACAGACTTGAAGAGGTGAAGTCACTTTCTCTAGACTTCAACCCCTTAAGTGGTAAAGCAGAGACTTGAATTTGGAATGTGACCTCAAGGTCCGGATTCTTAACCTCTTACTGCACTGCTGCCCTCAGAAAGTATAGAGGGGAGATGTTGACAAGGAGGATGAGGGAAAGGAAGAGTCATTGATGGCTAGGCCTTGAAACTGGGCAGTTATGTGAATGGTGGTGACTCGGGCAGAGAAGTGGATGCTAAAAGGAGGGCTAGATTTGGATGGGAAGGTTATTCTTCCTTACAGCATGTTGAGATGGAGAAATATCCAAAAGGAGAGACCCAAAAGACAGCCAGAAATGCAATTTTGAAGATCAAGATGTTGATAATAATAGTCATAATTACTGATATTTTTTGAGTACTTAACCATGTATTAAGCACCATCCCAAGTATAGTATATCTATTATCTCAATCCCATCTGCTGCAGATGCTGTTAGTATTTTACAGGCACAGCATAGTAAGCAACTTGCCCAGGTACAAAACAGTGAGTAGTGGAGCCAGGATCTGGACCCGGGCAGTCTTGAATCCAGAGCTCATTTTCTTAAGGACTCTGCTGTGCTGCTTCCCAACATGACGTATCCTCACAGTGTTTCTAGTTAAAGCAGATTATACAAGAACTGGGCAGTAGCAACAGTCTTTCTTATCTCTTTGAATCACAAATATATAACTATGAATTACATAAAATGTTAAAATTTGAACCAAATTCACCTCTCTTTGAGAGTGAACAACTCAACCTAGAAAAATTCTATCATCAGCTATCAAAAGCTACATACATGTAGGGTTGTAGGATTCTCATAGTAATCACATCTGAGCTATATTTGTGGAGTTTATAACAGATACACTTTGCATACATAATCACAAATCTTACCAACAGCTCTCCAGAGTAAGTAAAGCATTTTTTACTATTCCTGTTAAAGAGACAGAAGTTAAGTATTTCACCTCCCCAAGGTCACACAGAAGGTAAGATGGGCTAGGATTATAGAAAGGAAACCTGGGAATGTGTTGTAAAAGTTTTCTTTCTAAACAACTTACAGAGTTATCAGAGTAAACTTTCCATTTCTGCTATAAAGTTTCGAATTGTAAGATTAGAACTGCCTAGGATTTAAAGTACTGTGTGAGGAAGTCAGCCCAAACACAGAGCATCAGGAGTGTGACTCAAGCAACAACCTCCTCTCCTTTTCAGGGTATGGTGGCTGTGTCTGGCAGTTTGTCAGTGCTTCTGGATTCCATTATCTGTGCCCTTGGCCCCTTGGCATGTCTCACCACACAACTACCTGAATTGAATGGCTGTCCCAAACAGGTCTTGGTGAGTTTTCCCTGGATTTTTAGGGTCAGACCCATTGGGCATCAGAGATGCCCTGCCTTAATGAACACTGTCAGACACAGGCTCATAAGGCTTTGTGACACATAGTGCTTCCTTTATCTGTTAGCTCATGGAACATGATGCTATATTATCAAATGCATGCTGTGCTTTCACTGAAACTAGAAAACAAGCCATTTACCAAAATAGTGCTTAAGAAAGAAGCATTCTAGCCTTCGAGGTACTGCGATTCCTGTGTTTCCTGTTTGCTATTCTACACCCAAGGACGGTACAGGAATTGTCTCCCTCTTTTTTTACTAGGATTAATGGGAGAAGTCAGCAGAAAAGTTCCTAGCATAACAAACAACAGGATGCCGTCTTCATTCTCACCTGTTTTTCTAACTCCATTTGATTTTTTTTCTCTCTCTCCTTGAACAAAGAAACATGTCAGGAAACCAAGGTAAAGTACTCTTCAGTTGAACATTTTTCTTTGTTTTGCAGTCAAACACACTAGACAACATTGCTTACATCATGCCTGGACTGTGACAGCAAAGAATCCTGGGACAGAAACCTTATCCTACACCATTGCTGGTTTGTGTATATATGACTGTTCCAGATTCCTTCACTGGCCTCTGGGTGTAGGTTTTAAATTTTTATATCTATACATACATATATACATATATATATAATGTACAGTATATACATAGGACTGTAACTACTTTGCTTTTAATAATTTTATGAAATGGCAAAGGTTTAGCCAAGAGGAAATTTTGGCATGAATACAGGCTTGGGATTCTTTTTTCTCCTGCGGTGGATAAATCTGCCTTAAAAATCAATGTAACTTGGGGGCTGGGGGCTTGTTCTGGGTGCCAAGCGCATCTCTTTATGGACAGCTAAAATGTGATTATTTTCCAAACTCAGTTGGACCTCCAGACCCATCACTGACCATTTGCCTTACCTGTCTTAGTCTGAAATATGTAATAGAAAAGATAACGGGAAGATGCCAGTTGACTGAAAATTCAAAGCCTTTCAATTTGAAGTGACCTAGGTGGGAGGTGATAAAATTTGTTCCCATTATAGTTAGGAAGGTGGCTTAGGTGAATTGAGTAGGGGGTTCATTCCAATTCCTACTGTATAGGTGTCCATGTCTCAAAATTTATTGTAATCATTGGTACCATTGGCGGCCTCAACAGAGGCCAAGAAGTTCTGTGAGCCCTGGCAGCATAAAACACCTTGGAGGGTGAAGCTGTCAGTGCCATCAGTTGGACCTCCATACATTCTGAGCTAACCCAGAATATTTAGTCTGCAGAACTAAGAGCTAGTGTCTTTCACTGGTGGCATGAAGTTAACCACCAAGTCCTCACAAGCCGTGCTGCTTAGTGACTTGGTGGTTATGGATAAACTTTGCCCAGCATGATTTTTGGATTCATCTTATCGGTTCCCCTGGTGGGCAGATACACAGTGTTCTGCATATTCCACATGTAAGTGAATTGCAAAAACAGAACAAAACTCACTCTCTTGTAGGTTTATTTATGTGTGTGTGAATGTGTATTTTAATTATGTGTATTTAACTCTTTAAAATCTCTTAGATTTTAATTTATCCTGTAAATTTCTGTATATATAATTTAATAACAAAAGCCTCCACCAGCAACAGCATGTGGAAGATACATATTTGTCATTTCTCCTTCCTTCCCTCCCTTCCTTCCTTCTTTCATTCTTTCTTTCCTTCCTTCCTTCCTTCCCTCTTTCCTTCCTTCCTCCTGATCTGTTCCAAAAACTCTGAATCATCTACATATTAAGGTATTTTACCTCAAAAATGAATCATTGTGTTAGGATTCTAATTCTTTACAAAGAACTTCATGGGCTTCAATAATGTCTAGAAAGTAAAATAAAGAGGAATGTTACCATCCCCAGCTGCCCTCATTTCCAGAGAACCAGACTTTTGCTTCCCAGTTGGAAAGAAGACAGTTGAGCACTTCAGGATGGTTTTTAAATCTGTTGTGAGATTCTCTGCCAACACCAAGCTCTGAGCTAACTGTGCTTTCTTCTCCTGGCCTAGACAGCACTACAGCATCAAAGTAGATCTTCGGGGACAGTGTAGCCCGTCTGCATCCTATTTAATTTCTTCCCTTCTCCCCACCAGTGTTGTCACAGGGCTATGTTGCTTAAAGGTATTCTGGCTGCTGAATCCCTTTCTCAGCTCAGAGCAGTTTTGAGATTTAATTGGGAATACAGAGAAAGAAACAGGATTGTTTGGGAACCAAAATCAAGAGGAACAGAAATCTTAACTTGATTTCATGTATTAGAACATTGGGCCGGGTGCGGTGGCTCAAGCCTGTAATCCCAGCACTTTGGGAGGCCGAGACGGGTGGATCACGAGGTCAGGAGATCGAGACCATCCTGGCTAACACGGTGAAACCCCGTCTCTACTAAAAAATACAAAAACAAAACTAGCCGGGCGTGGTGGCGGGCGCCTGTAGTCCCAGCTACTCAGGAGGCTGAGGCAGGAGAATGGCGTGAACCTGGGAGGCGGAGCTTGCAGTGAGCTGAGATCCAGCCACTGCACTCCAGCCTGGACGACACAGTGAGACTCCGTCTCAAAAAAAAAAAAAAAAAAAAAAAATTGTACCATGCCTCTTCTCCATCTGGAAGTTTCCTGTTTGACACAGGGTATCTAGGAGGGGCGGAGAAGACATGGATAGTACAGGAAGACATTAATCCTAGCATTGTCATTTATATACATTAATGAAATCCTGATGAGGACCTGCTTTTTGTTTGTTTTCCTTTGAAACCCAGCCCTATTGTATTTGTATTTAAAATTTGTACACATTTGTATAATAATCTGTACCTTGTGGTATTTGGTACTATTAGAGGAAAAACTTTGGATTCAGACCTTCTTGAAGTTTTTATATCATTGTTTTATTTTGTTTTTTAAATAAATTCTAGTGGTTTGATCCAAATCCCATTACAGTTGTATAAAGAAATAAAATTTTGTACTTATATTATTAAAAATCACATTTTTAATATTTGTAGTCCAGTCTCAGCTGTCTTTTCCCTAATCATGATAATCATAGTTGCTATGAAATTATGAAACCTGTTTTTCACTTTATTCTACCATCATTTTCTTAAGAAAAAAACCCACAATGGAGATTAAATTTCTAATCTTAGCCATTTTCCTAATATACTCCTTACTCTGTTTCTATTAATTTTAACATTGTAGAGGCTCTCATTTTCTCTTTTGCAAACTGCAAATGTAGTGAATCTGATAACGGCACCTTCATTTATTGGCAAACAAAACTATGTGCATTATGGTGTTGGCCTAAATCAAGAAAATGTTCGTTCATCTTATATAAGGGTTGCATCTGAATCATGTGCTAAATGATATGTTTCAGTACTGTCCTGGCTTAGTCAGTAATGCTATTGATAAGTTACTTAATCTTGATAGGCTTCCAAAGTCCCATCTATAGAACAGTGTTAAAGTCACTTCCCTGTCTCTAGACCTGCAGCCAGCCAGCCTGACATGAATGTTTTAATAATATGAACATTGGATATATGGAGATAAGACCTTTCAAGGTAAAAATTTCAGTGCAAACACAAGGTGTTAAAAGTCATAAATAGTGAAATAATATGATTAATTAAAAGGCTAATGTCTTATGGAAAGGCAGCAAGGAAGAGACCACTGTATCACTGACTGACTGTTAGAGAGAGTGATTTGCATACCTGGTCTCACTCATCCCCCCACAAAGCCTTATGAATATTATCTCCCTTTATAGATGCGAAAATGTACTTTTCCCAGGAAGGTTTATACTGCTAGTAAATGGCAAAGGCAGAATAAGAACAGTGGAACGGGTGACCTCAAACCCTAGGCTCTTTTCTACCCCAAGCTACTTTCAGATTTAAATCGTGCATATAATTCATCAGAAGGCTTTCCATTATCTCAAGTCCCGAGCAAATGTGATTGTAGGAATGCCATCTGAGATCTTTGCATTGTTCAGCTATCTAGCTGGCTTTCACTCTTGTCATACTATTGTCTTTAAATTTTGAAGGCAAAGTATCTTGATTTTTGTCTGTAAGCGCTTAAAGGATTTAATAGATTACATTTATGCAGACTGTCAGTCTTAAGAAATTTGAACATTTTAACCCTCAGTAAGGCATGATATTAATATTACTAAAACTCTTGAAGTAAATTGAAACACTTTTTACTAAATGAGTTTGCTCCTTATTAGCACACTTCTTTTTTAAGACAGTTTTAATCAGTTTTGTACTAACTTAATGTTTGCCATTTACATCCCTATCTACTGTGTTGATAAAATCCATATACTGGCCAGAGGCAGAGGCTCATGTCTGTAATCCCAGCACTTCGGGAGACTAAGTCAGGAGGATCGTTTGTGGCCAGGAGTTTGAGACCAGCCTGGGGAATATAGCAAAACCCCACCTCTACAAAAACTAAAAGATATTAGCCAGGCATGGTGGCATGCATCTGTAGTCCCACCTCCTCGAGAGGCTGAAGTGGGAGAACACTTGAGCCCAGGAGATCGGGGCTACAGTGAGCTACAATTGCACTGCTGTACTCCAGCCTGGGTGACAGAGAGTATGTCTTTAAAAATAAATCCATATAGTCCCATTTCTGTTTGGATAGCTATATAGTAAACATTCTGCATGGAGTTGTTTTTGTTTTTTGTTTTTTTGAGACGGAGTCTCGCTCTGTGGCCCAGGCTGGAGTGCAGTGGCATGATCTCAGCTCACTGCAAGCTCCGCCTCCCCGGTTCAGGCCATTCTCCTGCCTCTGCCTCCGGAGTAACTGGGACTACAGACGCCCGCCACCACGCCTGGCTGATTTTTTCTATTTTTTAGTAGAGACGGGGTTTCACCGTGTTAGCCAGGATAGTCTCAATCTCCTGACCTCGTGATCTGCCCGCCTCGGCCTCCCAGAGTACTGGGATTACAGGCGTGAGCCACCGCGCCTTGCTTAATTTAGGTTTTCTATCATCCAAAATTTGTGCAGTCAATTTACTAGTCTTTCAGATTTAAAAACCACAAACATTACAATAAATACTAAAGCACCCACAGTAGCCAGACTACTAAGGCCATGGTTATTGTATTTTTGGAGTACATGTCAGAAGAAAAGGTCATAACCCATAGATAGGTATCTAGTGTGTGGGGTCAGCAGACACACCACACACAGCCAGGAAGGCTGAAGAGATTAGTCTCAACGCTGGGAAAGGCCTTTGAGATTCTTAGCTTGGGGTCCACGGTTGTACTTCAGGGACCCCAGAAACTCCCTGAGGTTATAAGCAAAATTCTATCGCTGCTTTTTTTCTTCAGAAAGCCTCATGGCTTTTGTCAAATTCTCCAAGGAGACTGTGACCTAAATAAAATATTTTTTTTAAATGCTTACGAGTCCTTGATCTAATTCCAGTATCTAGAGAAAATGGGAGCTGTGTTTGGCTCACACAGTAAATTTATGGCAGAGATGGGTATCAAAGCCCCACTCGTGACTACATCTGCGCTTTCTGCCATCCTGGGCGCTAGAGGGAATTGCGCTGCAATTCATTCAATTATTTCTCAGTCTCAGTAGATGACAAACCCCTTGCCCTTACCTCTGATTTAAGGTAAGATAATTTGGGCTGCAAGCAGGGTGCATCTTGGAGCGGGGAGACCTTGACATCAAACAGGAAGAGTCCTATCGGGGCAAGGAGACAGCAGCCCAGAGAGGCTGTCACCCAGAGTAGGTGTGCAGTCACAGTGAGGTCCCAAGGACTAAGGTCTGTGACACTAAGAGTCTCGGCTTCTGTGTAATCTCACCCAAGTCACTTCCCTGGTCTACGACCCAGTTTCCCAAATGTGTAAAGGGTCCTTTAGACCCCGCCCTAAAAGGTCAGGGGCGTGGCTTAAAGAGGACCGCGCTTCCCGGGCCCCGCCCCCAGGCTCTACGTCGTGCGTGACGCCCGCCGCCGCCTAGGAAGCGACGATGAGGTCATCGCCCTCCGCCTCGGGGGCGGGACCCTGGCGCGTCAGGGCGGGGCCTGTGGTCCAGCTCCGCTCTGCCACCGCTCCGCCCACGCCTCCTCGCCGGCCTTCGGGTGCGTCACGTGACGGGTTGGCGGCGCTGGCGGTTGCTGTCAGCTGATTCCCGGGGTTGGTGGCAGCGGCAGTAGCAGCAATGGACTTTCTCCTGGGGAACCCGTTCAGCTCTCCAGTGGGACAGCGCATCGGTGAGTCCCTGGAGCCCCCCACAGCTCCGCCCCGGTGCTCCGCACCCAGCTTCGGTCCCCTGGGAAGCCTCCGGGTGCCTAGTCACTGAGGCAGGGAGGGCAATGAGGCTGGCGTGTAGCTCTCCGACTTGGCCCCGCCCAGCTTTCCTCCCACTCTTGATTGACAAGAACTTGGGCCATTAGGAAGCCTTGGCTTGTGATAGATGTATACGACAGCCAGTAGATAAGGAGAGAGGGCGGGTCCGGATGCCCACCTCGCAGCCAATGTGTGTCTGCTGGGGTCCCGAATCGAGGGAGAAAGTTTTCGGGGTTAAAGGGACTGCGTGGTTGGCAGTGGCTGGGCCGCTGTGCTGGGTCCCGCCGCCTGGGCTTTGGCCAGCTCCTTTCTGGCTCTCCGGGCTCTCCGGACATGGACACCTGAGAAGGGCTAGAAGTCCATTCTCCCAGGACCGCGAAGCCTGGGGCTTGGCGTCTTGGGGGCGACTGGCCAGAGGGGACCCAGCGCCAGACAGCCCGCGGCCAGGCCTCACAGACCCGGATCTCAGGACGTGTCCGCCTGGGCTCTTATCTCGACCCAGCCTCAAATGGACCCGCACAAACTCTGAGAACCTGAGCAGAAAGTGGTCGGAGAAACCCTCCGGGTCAGCCCACCTCGGTGCTCCGTAGGTGGGGCAGCCCGGCGCTCGAGCCAAGCCGAGCCCAGGGCACCTGGCGCCTGAGTGCTGGTCCGTGGTTCTTTGCACCCTGGTGACAGGATACTTATAGTTCTATGACGCAGCCTCCCTGGGCGGAGGTTTCCTCACCTGTAATTGGCGGGTAATAATGGTCCTTACCTCCGTGGGCTTGTTGTGAAAATTAAATTCCTTAATAAATGTGAAATACTTAGAACAATGCCTGGTACGTGGCCAGTGCCATATAAAAAAACAGTTGTGATATTTATTAGCATTGGGCTGGGCGCAGTGGCTCCCGACTGTAATCCCAGCACTTTGGGAAGCCAAGGCGGGCAGATCGCTTGAGCCCAGGAGTTCGAGACCAGCCTGGGCAACATGGCGAGACCCCCGTCTCTACAAAAAAAAAAACAAAAATACAGAAATTAGCCGGGCGTGGTGGTGTGTGCCTGTGCTCCCAGCCACTCGGTAGGCAGAGCTGGGAGGATTGGTTGCACCTGGGAGGTCAGGGCTGCGTGAGCCCTGATGGCGCCACTGTACTCCAGCCTGGACGACGCAGGGAGATCCTATCTCTTGAAATACATACATACACACACCCACATTATATATAAATATACACATACATACATGTACATATACATACACATACATACATGTATATATTTACACACCCACATTGTTCCTGAGATACCACCAAGTGAAGGTTAGGAATCCCTGGAAATCACTGGGCAGTAGGTCTCATAAGTGCTCGTTCTTGGACACCAACACCGTGAGAACCGACATGCCTTGACCCAAACAGCCACACTTCTCCAGAGGATGGTCTGGGTGTTCCCCATTCTTGCATGAAGAAACCATCGCATTTCCGTGAAATCACTCTTTATCTTTTTTGATGATGACTTTTGGTCTTAAGTCCATACTGGGAAAACTTTAAGACGAGACATTCTTTCCATTCTTACTGTCTTGCCAAACCTCAGGAAAGCTTGTCGACCCGGCTCTGTGTTGTAATCGCCACCGTGGCTGTTGGTGGCTCTTCCGAGGGTTTTGTAATCAGTGCTCTCCAAGGGGGAGGTGGCAGTCCAGGATTTACACACCAGGAAGCTCCTGAACCAGGGAGAGGAACTGCCCTCTCAAAGGACCCCCGACTTCCCCTAGACACACCCACCCCACAGTGAGTCATGGTTTTTTGGAGCTGAGAAAAGAAAGCAGCTCTCCTCTCATCTTTATTTCTCTGACTACAGAAACCACTGCTTTTATCACATGCCAAGTTTAAGACTTACTACTTAAAAATAAACAAGTAAATAAAAGACCCGGCTTCAAAGTCAGCCGCATACTCTTAAGGCTTTCTGGAAAGCTCACCTGGGTTCTGGATTTCAGCTAGTCAAAGCAAGCTTCTCTTCTTACCCTGAAGGGTTGCCTTTCTTGGGCAAGAAATACTCCCGTGCAAAGAGAATGCTATTAAATCATCATACCTTAGAGCACAAATAGAATTTTACAGCTAAAAGAGCTTTGCCTTTGGAATTTTCTAACCCAGTGGTTCTCAGCAGCATTCCTAGGAAGGCGTGTTAAAGCAAATGATATCTGGGCCCCAACTCCAAAGTTTCTGACCCTCTAGGTCTGCAGTGGGACTCTAGCATGTGAAAATCTTTTTTTTTTTTTTTCTTTTTTTTTGAGACGGAGTTTCGCTCTCATTGCCCAGGCTGGAGTGCAATGGTACAGTCTTGGTTCACTGCAACCTCCGCCTCCCGGGTTCAAGCGATTCTCCTGCCTCAGCTTCCCAAGTAGCTGGGATTACAGGCACGCGCCATCACACCCAGCTAATTTTGTATTTTTAATAGAGACGGGGTTTCTCCATGTTGGCCAGGCTGGTCTCAAACTCCTGACCTCAGGTGATCCACCCACCTTAGCCTCCCAAAGTGCTGGAATTACAGGCATGAGCCACCGCGTCCAGCCTAGAATGTGAATTTCTGGCAAGTTCCCAGGTAATGCTAATGCTGTTCCAGCCCATCGCCTTCATTTCACACTGGCAGAGACTGAGATCCAGAGAGGGGAAAGTGGAGGCTGTGACTCACCCAAGACCCCCGTGAACTGACAGCGAAACTGAGCCATTGAAATTTAAACCAAAGCGGAAGAGGCTCCAAAAGTAGAATTAAGAGTTTGAGTTAATCCCCTCAGTATCCCATGTTCTTTTAGATAAAGAGGCGGAGGAAGTACTGCTCACTGGCTGTGATTACTGATGACATAGTATAGCTGCTTATACTTCTGTAAACCAGGCCCCTCCTTGCTGCAGGAGTACCGTCCCTTCTCAAGCCTGCCGACTCCCATGCCCTTGTTGAAAGGAGAGCTGTAGAGCCATATGGAATTGACATCCCTCAGCTGGCGGGTTCTAATGCTGCTAATCAGGAATGAGTATCAGGCACTTAAATCACAAAGTTCTTATTCACCTCCCCTCCCAACACACACACACACCCCTTTGTGCTTGCTGGTCCCTCTGCCTGGGTTGCTTCCTCCTGTGCCCCCACTGAGGAGCTCCAGATCACCATTCAAAGTACAGGATATCATCACCTCCTCCCTGAGGCCTGCCCCAAGCCCAACATTGCTCTTTTACTCTCCCGTTATCCCAGGTCCTCGGACCCTCTTACCGTATGACTTTGGGCTCTGACTCTCAGCTTCCTCCTTGGTAAAGTGTTGCAAACAGCATCTGCCTCACAGGGTGGTTGCTAGAATGAAACAAGATAGTCCTCTGAGAGTGCCTGGCACAGTGTGAGTGTGTGGAAACGTTAGCTCTTCCCGTCATCATCACCACCATCATCATTTTTATTATTTCTTTCTTTTTTTTTTTTTTTTTTTTTTGAGACAGAGTCTTAAAAAAGGCTGGAGTGCAGTGGCACAGCTTCAGCTCACTGCAACCCCTGTGCCCCGGGTTCAAGCAATTCTCCTGCCTCAGCCTCCTGAGTAGCTGGGATTAGAGGCGCATGCCACCACGCCCAGCTAATTTTTGTATTTTTAGTAGAGATGGGGTTTCACCATGTTAGCCAAGCTGGTCTTGAACTCCTGACCTCAAGTGATCCGCCCGCCTCAGCCTTCCAAAGTGCTGGGATTACAGGTGTGAGCCACCGCGCCTGGCCTATTTTTATTATCTCTACCCTCATCATACTAATATGCCACCATCCCACTCTCTTAGTGGTTGTGCATGTGTGTCTCCACAGCTAGGCTGAACTTCTTGAGAGCAGGAGCTGTGCCTTATTTCTCCAGACCCTCAGCACCTAGCACGGTGCCTGGCACATAGCAGGAAGGAAGAAGGGAGAAAAGGAAAGTAACATTTTGTGAGCAAACACCATAATAACTCTGCCAGGTATTCTGCTAGCGTCCTGGGTATTAATCTCATGGTGACCCTGTGCAGTTTTGCTATTTTTTTCCCATTTCACCAAAAGTCAGTGTAAGGGAAAGCATCACTTTCCAGGGTTCCACAGCTACTCAAGGTCAGAATCCAGACCCAGGCCTTCTTTTGTATTTTTAATAGAGATGGGGTTTCTCCATGTTGGCCAGGCTGGTCTCAAACTCCTGACCTCAGGTGATCCACCTACCTCGGCCTCCCAAAGTGCTGGGATTACAGGCATGAGCCACTGCGTCCGGCCTAGAATGTGAATTTCTGGCGAATTCCCAGGTAATGCTAATGCTGTTCCAGCCCATCCCCTTCATTTTACACTGGCAGAGACTGAGGTCCAGAGAGGACCTCACCACACTGCCTCGAGCTGCCCAGTGCCTCTTTTGAATTGATGTCCATCCAGCCTTCCAGGATCCACAACTCTTGTTCTACCCCTTGTCCCAGATAAGGACATGCACGTGGGCCCCACACTTGCAGGTCCCTCTCCCTTACCGATGAGTAGGGGAGCTTCCCAAGGGCAGCACCCGTAGCTGAGAGGATTCCAGATCCTTTGTATCAGCTGGTGTTACCACAGCCCTCTTCTTTCAAGGATTTCAAACCCTTTCCAGGTGTTCTCTGCAGACAGATCTTACTGGCTCTGTTTTATAGACAGATGTCAAGAATCCCAGTTTCCATTTCTGGCTATCAGCCTACCCCCTAAGCACTTGGAGTCCAAATCCTAGCTGATTGCCGAGAGCAAGTTGCAAACAACAGAGATGGTAAATGTGAGCAGTCCCTGGGGATGAGCCTCAGTGGTTGGGGTGGTGGGAGCTGGATGTGAGGGGAGAAGAGCCCAGAGCCTGAAGACTGAGCCCTGGAGGGGAAAAGTGAAAAAGTCAAAGAGAGCTGTCTTTGATTCCACAAAAGCCAAGCCAGGGGAGCCACAGGAAGGAATCACAGAAGTGAGA